TTTCCATTTAATACTGGCCACAGGTTAACATTCATTCTAATTTCCTTTATTATAATTATTCATTTTTTTCCGTTGTATAGAAAATTTCCATCTAAACTTTTGTATTATTTTGCAGTGAATACTGGTTGTTAGTTGCAATTAATCCGATAAGAGAGATAATATATTATCTGAATTCGTTGGATGATATATGATCAAACAAAATACTCAGATATGAAGATGATGGTTGATACGTAAGTGATGAGATTGTTCTGAATATTGTTGTGTATATTTATTTATTATGTGAGATTGTTCTAAATATTGTTGTGTATATTTATTTATAATGGTATATATAAGGCATATGTGTTGAAATAAAACTGTTATTGACGATATCAATTCACAACATGTGTGTGTGTCTGTGTGCGCGTGTGCGTGCGTGCTTTTGCGTGCATGCGTGTGTGTGACTTGGCCTCCTCTGTAATCACATAATCAAAAACAGAACTGACGGTTCCACAATTTGTTTCATTGCGAGTTATGAACGGGAATGTGAGATATAAAGGAAGATCATGTCACCAATCTTTTCAGAATTTCGAATAAAGATAACAAAAACGATAGCCTTTTTCTAAATCATATCTACAACAAATAAGAATTGATATAAATGTCTTTAAATAATCTACCACAAACTATATTTTTATCTTGGTAATAATCTATCACAAACTAAAGTCTTTAAATATATATAAAAATGTGATATTTACGTATATTATAGAAGTTTGATGTTATCATATTATTTATTAGGCCGAGAAATTATCGAATAAACAATATAATTGACATGACAATGTTATTTTATACATGAATAACAATGTTGAGCTTCAGATGAAAATTATGAATAATGGTTAAAATATTAACGATTGGTTATTGATATGTATGTAAGCATATTAGCTGCAACACTATCTATCACTATATCATGTTATTTTTTTATTTTTTTTATTACATATAATTTATATTTCTTATTTTTCATGGATTCAATAATTTTATTCACGTAATTATTATTGACAGGCCTACTACATTTCTATAAAATACAACACAACAAAAATGAAAAGAAATAGACTGAAATACATGGTAGTTTCTCATGGCTGAGTTAAGCTAGTTGTGGTTTGATGAAATATCTTGTATAAATATCTTACCAATATTATTGTCTCTAACACGATCAACCATTTGGTTCATAACAATGGAAGATAGCAAACATTATCTTTACATCTTGTGTGTATTACTTAACAAACAACAAAAAAATTATTTGTTTATTTGTTGAATAATAAAAGTTGGATGTAGATGTAACGTAGCCAAAAGCTAAGCCATACACAGGTGGGTGAGCTTAGTCCAAAATTTTGTATAATAAATACAAATACAGCGATGCATTAAATTCTCACTCTTTTATTTGTTATCAACTTGTCCACAAAATATCCCATTTGAATTATAATACTACACTAGATTGCTTTTCTAATACTTGTTTTTATTTTAAATATTTAATATTAAATGGTAAAATAATCTTTGTGATACACAATATTTTTATATTTTATTTGTTAAAATTTAAAAATAGTATTAATCTCTGTATTGTTATAATTTTAAATTTTATTTTGTAGAATAATATTTTAAAAGAATTATAATGAGAATTTATATAAAAATTTTAATGATGTGAAAATAATTAATATGAGTTCCTAATTATTTTATTAAATTAAATTCAAAAAATAATTATTTAAGATTTCAACTAATTATATTTAAAATTTAATTTTGCAAGTTCAAAAACTTTTTACGATGTGATCAAATAATTATTTTTTCATGAATAAACAGAGACAATGCATATTTGTTTCATGAGAATTTTTTTTGAAATTGTCCAGAGCATTGGTTTCTTTCATGAGAAAAAGTTTTTATGTACTGCATATTTAGGTTATGGTTTCTTTCGTGAAATGTTCAGATCTAAATGGATTTTTGATTTTTTTTCTAAAAGTATAACAGATAATATATATGCACTACTTTTGTTGAGTTATGGTGCGCGAATCCATTTGAATTTCTGATTTTTTACAAACACTTTATTTGTTGATCCTTATGAATTATCTAAATTTTAGAGGACTACAAATTATAAAACTCACCTTATCTCGTCTACGAAACCTCTTTTTCTTCTTCGTGTATTCGTACCAGCGTTTGTCAATGTATTTCTCCAGCTTTACAACCTTATTCTTTCTCTTGGTACAATGTACCTCCTCGTAATACCTATCTCCATTTTCACAATCAATAATCTTGATTGTCTTCTGCACCACTACAAATACACTTTTTATAACACCAATTTCGTAACGGCTATAAAGTTAATCGTGGTAATACTTTTATTTCTAAGCATTTTTTTTGGAATTTATTAGAGGACATGTCACAACTGTCAAGTGAAGCAACTTGTGAAAAGGTAATGTTATTTACCTTGTATATCACCAAATTTTTTATTAACAACCGTAATAAATGTGATATTTTATTTATATATAAGCAGAGTTATCTATTGGTTCAATACATTACAACCGTCTCTCTCAAAATAAAAGTCTAACAACTCTTTCACTTGTCTCTCTCAAAACAAAACTCTAACAAATCTCTCACTCTTCTCTCTCATATGGAAACCCCAAAACGAAACCATAACAACAAATCTTAGCCAATGGATATTTACAGGTTCGTTTTCTCTATAGTTATTTTTTAAAAATCTGTTTATATAGCTTTGTTTCATGATGTTTGATGTAACACCCCAAATTTATTGAAATGTTTATTTAATTTATTTAAATATAAACATTCGTATTTTTGGTGATTTTCGGTGGTTTATGTGAAATATTGAAAATTATGGATTTTAGGTTATTTACTTAAATAATAGTATATAATATGAATATATTGGTATTATTATTAATTTAAATAAATATAAGTTAACTAAGGGCAAATTGGATAATTAAGGAGGAGTTAGTGATGGTAATATTGAAAAAACCCAATTTATATGCTCAAAGTTAGCTTTAACAAAAAGAAATTTTGAGGAAATTAGGATTCATTCTTGCTAGACCGTGAAAATGGAAGAAATAAAGGGCAGAGTTCTGAGGAAGATGATTCAGGCAAAAGCTTCGCGAGGTTTCTAAGAATCAAGGAGAAATGCTTAGAGTCAGCAATTAAGGTATGTGGAGTATTGCTTTCATTGTTTTTAATATGTGATTCAATGTATTTAAAGCTGATTTAAGGATTTAAAGAGTTTGAGGTTGATTTGAGATAAAGGAAATTAGGCCTTAATGGCCAAAATCTATTATTGAGGTTTTAACCGTATAAGGATTTGAACTGATGGTCTGATAGGTTTGAGGTTGATTTAAGAGTAAATGAAATTAGGCCTCCGTGGCCAAAATCTGTTGTTGAGGTTTTAACATTGTAGAGTAATTAGATAGTGAGTACTCTAATGACCGTGATGTAGTTGTAAGGAAATTATGAAAATTAGAGGCATAAATATGATACGGGATTGAACCTGTATCCCTTAATTTTAAAGGTTTTAGCATAATCTTAAAACAATGATTAAATGATTTAATTGTGTTAAAATTGTAAATTTACTTGAGATAATTACAATGTTGAATGGGTTGTAATTTTATGAGAGTTTGGGTTTTTATGGAATTGAAATCGGAGGTCCGGAAGGTCTCCAACGGTGAAAAATGCAGAAAATTTTGCATGTTTTCCGTCACGACTGTTTATGTTTTCGATCGAAATCGTTTTGGACGTAACTTTTAATCTGTAAGTCCGTTTTGATCCCCGTTTGAAGAGTTAGAAAGCTAATGAATAGGGCTATAACATGGTATAGATAAGGGAATTGGTTTCCCAATATTTGTATATATAATATGTTTGGGAAGTCAATTATGTTCTGGTTCAGTGATGTCTTGATACTTTGGTGCTATGATTTTCTGGGTGAATTCCATAAGTGTAACTGTGATTCCTATGTGATTAAATGGATGTATGATGAATTACCATGAGTATAACTATGATTCCTATGTGATTAAATGAATGTATGATGAATTACCATGAGTATAACTGTGATTTATATGTGATTAATACATGATTGCATGATGAATTCCCATGAGGAACTGTGATGATTTGTAACATTGATTCCATGAGGTTTTGATGATTATATGATGACGTGATTCTTATGATTATTTTGATGAATTATGATGCACCTAATGAGATTATTTTGAGGATGATATTGACGTGTGCATCATGCATTCATGTGCATTCAGACTTCGGCTCAGGATCTTGATTTCTTTGGCTTCACACTACTAGAAATGATGTATTTAGCCTCAGCCACTTTCCGAGGCTATAAGGCAAAAAACCGCCGCTACTAGCCAATTAGCCTCGGCGTAGCCTCGGTGTCGGGGATAGGCTAAAACGATCGAAGCTAACTTTTAGCCTCGGCAAGAAGATCCGTGTCTAAAGTAGCCTCGGTCTATCCTTGTCTAATTTAGCCTCGGTAAAGCCGTGTCTACTTTAGCCTCGGTGAAGCCGTGTAAAAAAACTTAAAATAGCCTGGGCCTGACCGAGGCTAAAGTCAAACTCCATAAGCCCCTACAATATTTAGCCTTGGTCCTGGTCGAGGCTAAAGGAATATTTTGCCTCGACTTTTTCGAGGCTAAGTTCAAACTTTATAACATCAAAATATTTAGCTTTGGCCTAACCGAGGCTAAAGTCAAATTATAAAAGTCATCAAAATTATGCCTGCTTTCCAATTGTATAATCTATATATGTTGACCATGTTTTCCAATAATGGTAATTATGTCATGTCCTGTTCTCCTTCAATCTATTTATCAAAACATATAACACATATGAAGTAAGAGTTATCAAAATATTACATAGATTGAAACAACAACAAAAAAAGTAGTCATATCTACAACAAAAAACAGCCCCAAAAACTCGGAATACATTGAAAATCATGTCCAAAAAAATTTACATCTGAGACTACTTCTACTAACACTGCATGATCAATCTTCACTTAATGATTGGTCATCTAAATCATCATCATAGTGAGGATTTGACGATCGAATGACAACTCTAGCAGATTGACCATTTGTAGGGTCAAGCTTCTGCATGATAAATGCCTTCAAAACATTCAGTTCATACTCCATCTTCTTAGCAAACTCGTTAGACACTTGATATTGTTCGGTTGCCTTCCGAGCAATCTCATTTGACGCCTGAATAGCTTTGGTAGCCTCTTCGAGTCGAGCTGATGTAGCTGCAGCCAATTGTTCAGCTCTAATTCTAGATGCTCTCTCTGATTCAAAGGATGTCCCAAACATAGATCCGCGAGAATTTTGAGGTTGTTGGATAAAGGATATCGATCCATGCTTCAGATTGATAGCTAAATCCGTTGTTCCATAAACCCGGCCATGACTACGACCCCCAGCAGAATCTGTCCATAATTTAGAAATGGTCTCTGCATCTAACCTCTCGACATCATCTCCAGCTTTTTCCTTAAAAGTGGACTGTAAAACAGAAAAATGAGTCATTTTTAAATATAGGATTCTTATTGTGCCTGCATGAGTTATACAAGAGTTATTGTGCCTGCATGAGTTAGTACAACATTTCAATAATTAACAACTACAACCTAGTCTCACCTAATCTCATTTCAATAATTAACATTTCAACATTTCAATGATTAGTACAACATTTCAGCATTTGCAGCAGCAACATTTGTAACAGAAAATAGGTTATAATTAATACAACATTAGTATAACATTTCAATGATTAGTACAGCATTTGTAGCAACAACATTTCAGCATTTACAGCAGCAGCATTAGTACAACATTTCAATGATATATTAGTACAAGAGATGTCAACTGTTTTAGCTCTCTCAAAGAATAACAGAAAATCTTAACTTGTATTTATGTAACTGATTTTTTAGGGTTCAATTCAGGTTATAATAAACCATAACAGTCTGTGGGTTCAAAACTAGAAGATTAAATTCAGGTTACATCATTCACAGGTTAAATTCAGGTAACATTTTACTTCCCCTTCCTGATTTTGCGTTAAAACTCTAATTTCAAGGCAGTCTAAGAAACAAAAGACTATCTCACTCAACCTCAAAGACAGAATACAGGGCATTAGCAAATAATAGTTGACACTCAATGGCTCAGATGTTAGGTGCAGCGCACATCATTGTCGCGGTGCGTCGGGTGCATTTCACGAGAGCAGCACAACACAGAAGCTGCAGTCGCAGAGTTCTGAGCAGCACAGAGCAGCACAGCACAACGCAGAAATAAACAGTTACATAGTATGCGAAAACACTCAACTTTACTCCTCCCTAACAATAAGACTGTAGTCCATCAATGGAACATGAGTGGAGTTGGAGTTGCTCCTTCAACACTAATTCAATCTCAAAATATCAACATCCATCCACCACCATCCACCTATCCTATTTATCATCATACCTCTACTTTATTTCCATCTCCACTTGGATTTCCAACACCTGCTTCTTCCAAATGCTCTAGCATTTGGGGTTATCATTGGCATCTAACGGAACCTCACTCACTTTTATTCCCCCACAGTTCCTTGCCGGTACTGGAGTCTCACAAAACAAATCAAAAATGTTGAAATTAAGCTAAGAAAAAATAAAAGATGTTTTTAACAAGATCTCTGAATTCCCAAAGAGAAATAATAAAATTTTCAAGTCACTAGCTGGTGGTCTAGCTAGCCATGAAGGATAAAAGTGGAGCAAGCATAAAAGGCTAATCAATCCTGCTTTCCAAATAGAAAAATTAAAGTAATCTCAACGTGTGAGTGTGTGGAAGTTAGAAACAAATGTGTTATTTTATCCTTCAAACTACATTTCTTGAAAACTATATGCTTTGAAATATGGATAGTTATGCATATTATATTGTTTTTATGATTACACTTCAGATTATGACACCATCTTTCTTGAAAAGTTGCAATGATCTGATTAGCAAATGGGAGGAATTGTTGTCTTCAAATGAATCATGTGAAATAAACATATGGCATTCTCTTCAAAACTTGGCTAGTGATGCTATTTCTCGAACCGCATTTGGAAGTAGTTATGAAGAAGGAAAAAGAATATTTGAACTTCAAAGAGAGCTAGCTGAACTTATAATGAAAGATATAGTGAAATCTTTCATTCCTTTCTGGAGGTATAGTGAAATCTTTTCATATCATTCACTTATTTAGTTGGTCTTTTTTTATTTTTTCTTGGCTTTATTTCAACATTTTTGTTTGTAGGTTTGTACCTACTACTGTCCATAGAAATATGGATGAAATTTACAGAGTTCCTTTATGTTATGAAACTCCAGTCTTTATGTTATGCAGCCTTTATGTTATGCAGCCTTTATGGACTACAATCTTATTGATGGACTACAGTCTTATTTACACTTATGCATATGTCTTCTAAGATTCAACTAACAAACATCTATGATGCACATACACAAAACAACTACAGCAGCGAAACTGTGAAGAATTGATAATTTGATTCCCATTTGCCACCTAATGATAGATTATTTAATTAAGACTTACGTATGTAGACTCAGCAGGATGATCAACCCATGCTCCACTTTTCCTCTTATGGGTCTTTAAAAATAACTCATCAGGACGTACATCCCTTTGAAGTTCTTGGGTCTACAAATATAAATTAAAGTAAATTTGATAGTGTAAATAATTAAAGATTGAAATGAAAATCGACTTTATTACTTACAAGCTCAAGCGCTACATCAACATGAGCCTTACGACCTGAGGTGTGGACTGCTTCTCCTCTTGCTGAACTTCGATTGGCCTTGTTTTGAGAGGACAATTTCAAGAACGAATCACTCTTCCAATAAGTTTCAAGCTCATTCCAGGCATCCTCACCAATCCATGAAGGACGGGTCCCTTTTAACCTCACCTTCCTCATTATGTCATTTAGTCGAATGACTGCCTTTGAATAAAAGACTTTCTTGACAAACATCTCATATTGAGGATCCCATGAAACCTTGTCCTGAAAATGTGTTTTTGTCAGCATCTATCCATAAGGAAACATGTGTTTTTGTCCTTAATGCTGAGGCTTTTAGACAAAATTCAATAAATACTTACCGCAAAAATAGCAAACCATTTTTCTTTGACATTATCGGAAACTGCTGCCCAATTATAGAAACCCCTATAAAATTGTTTGCGTATCGCATAATGGCATTTGCTACTTCTTTAGCTGGAACAAGCCTACAATATTGAATGAAACCAATGATGTCATATGATATACTGTTGAAACTAATGATAATATTGAAGCATGTTACAATATTGAATAAATATTTTAAACTTACCCACTACCACAAGTTTGTATAATAACCTTCCCATTATCATCCCTTATTATCATATGAGGGGGAACATTACCTTCACCCACGACCACCTCATCCGCGTCCTCATCCTCAATTTCCTCTTCATTTACCTCCATTGGAATCTCACGTGAGGCATTATCTAGAGGGACAGCCACATTTTGAATGTTTAAACCCAGAGTAGGCATAAACCTAAATACCTCAGAGGTAGAGACATGATTAGGTGCAGATGATAATGTAGTCTGCAATGGTGGTACAGCCTGCGACACAGGCGCAGTCCGCAAAATGGGTGCAGTCCGCGGGACCGGTGCAGCCTGCACTGGCAATGGATTCAGAGCAGGTGATGGATTCAAAGCAACCGAGGGAGTCGGAGCCAACGATGGATTCGGAGCAGGTGATGGAGTCGAAGCAACCGAGGGAGTCGGAGCCAACGATGGAGTCGGAGCCGACAATGGAGTCCGAGTTGGTGGAGTCGGTGTTGTAGTAGCTTGTGATGACTGAACAAATGTAGAGTTCTTTTGATACATGCTATTCCGATTATCAATAAGCTTTCCGGGTGCTAAGCACTTAGATTTTCCTTTTTTTGGATTTTCCTTTCCTCTCTCACCTCCACTTCTGTTAGTCATCTACTGTCATAAAATACAAAAACAATTAGACAAAAATTAGACAAAAACAATTACAATCAAGCAACTAAACAGCCAGCAACTAGGATAAAGGACTTGTCATCACTGATAGCAACTAGGACCTGTCATTATCATTTTGTTTAATATCCACAAAACAAAACTTCATCATGGTGCAGTATGTACAGACTTTGGTATTAGTCATTATCATTTTGTTTAATATTGTAACAGACTTTGTCAAAACAAAACAAAACAAAACTCCAATGGACAACACATACTTTGTTTAATCTCAAAATATGTGATATAATATTGGGCATTACTGATGTTTGGATAACACTCTATAGATGGGTGCTAGTATCATTATCCATATGGTATTACACCAATGCCAAATAACCAAGTATCGCTCAGTTACCGTTCAGGCATATATCCTCCATATCGTTGCTCTGGCTCATTGACAATGGCTAACTGTAAAAAAGGTGATTCAGAAAAAGAGCCATTTATAGCGGCTCATAATATTATTCTATCACATGCAACTGCAGTTCATCTCTATAGATAATTACCAAAACCATGATAATGGTAGGCTTTGGATTTGGTGGAATAAGACTCATTTTCTTTACTTGTCTCATAAGTGCTGCTACAAGCAGACTTAGACAAACAAAGATTCTTCTTCAGTCTTTCATCATCAAACTCAAACTCTTGTTGCCTCTTCTCATCACTCTTCGCTTCAATTTGAGCGAGCACGTTGTTGAGAGAAGGCAACTCCGAGATAGAATCCGAAGCAGCCTTGATTAACCAATCAACCGCTTTACTCGGTTGATCATAACCAAGTCTATCTTGCACATCATAAAACTGAATAGCCATGGTAACCAAGAGCCTAACTCTTCTATCTCGTAAACCCTTCGAAGTCATCACTTTGTTGTGTCTATCTTTTCCACCCGAACCTCTCGACACTCTAACGATTCTCGAAGAGTTTTCTTCCTCCTGCTGCCGCTCCTGCCAGCTTCTCTGAAAATCACTCCTAGTAACTCCTCCAACATTCTTCCTTCTACCAGAACCTAAATTCTTGTTGCTAGAATTGTTTAAGTTGTTTACAACATTTCCGAGTCTCGGAAACTTGCATGCTTGAATCTCATCCTCCATTTCACAATCATGCCTTAGAAAGAGAAACACACTCCTATGGTATGCAAGTAGTTTGGCTTAATAAATAAGTAGTATGGATGTATAGTGATAAAAAGTGCTTTTTATTTAATTTTATAAAAAAATAAATGATAATGATGCATCACAGTCTAAGTCAGAAACCCTTGTTTAAGGCTTTTTTTTTGTTCAGTTTTCAAAAACAAAAGACTGATTATGATTAGTAGGTTTCATTCAGAGCTTCACCTCCTGCAAACACAACCAAAAATACATGGACATGACCCTTCATATTTTGGCTCCTAGTGTGTCTGATCATAACTTACTGCTGCTGAAAAATCTTGATATGGATAGGTATAAGAGACGGTTTCACTTTAAGTTTCTCAACAGTGTGGTGGATATGGCTGACTTCCAAGAGGAGATTCAAGAGGAGATTCACAAGAGCTGGAGCATCCCTATTGGGGGTAGTCCCATGTTTTTATCGTGGAGGAAAATGATTAGAGCTTAAGGTGTCATCAAAGCCCTTAGTACTCCTTTGATAAGAGCCTCTCACTCTCTGAAAATAGTTAGGCAACAGTTGCAGATAATTAGGAGAAGTTGGTGCATGACAGAGAAAATCCTGGGCTTATTAATAAGGTGAAACCACATACAAAGAGCCAAGATTAGTTGGCTCAGACTGGGTGATGGCAATAACAGATACTTTAATGCTCAAGTAAAGTGAGATGATGACACCCTACTTACAAATCCTGATGATATTAAAGCTGAAGTTTTACATTTCTATGAGAGTCTTATGGGCAGTGCAAATGATAACCTTAATGACATTGATCTTGTGGCTATGAGAGAAGGGCCCAATTATCTAATGAACAAACGTAGCTAACAATCAAAGCATGTGAACAAGGAAGAAAATACTTAGGAAAAAGAGAAATGATAATATCATATTCATCAAGATATTGGAATACAAAATACACATAATAAACCATAACATAGTTGTGTGTCTTCAATCAATATCCTATCGTTGCTTCACTACGTATCAAAAATCTCTTCAAACACATCTACTTGTGTGCTGTCACGCAAACAAGATATTGATTCAATTTCAATAGTGGGTAGAACAGGTAACATCCCATCAGACTGATATGGCATTTCATCATCTATGTTATCAATCATCACATGACCCCTTGGTTTTGTGGTGATTGTCGCACACCATCCACGCATATCTCTACACATTTCTGGATATGGGACATAATACACTTGTCTTGCATTTTGCGCAAGGATGAAAGGATCATAAGGACGATAACGCTTATCCATCTTAATATCAACAGTTTTATATTGTGGATGAACCTTTGTTCCTGTGTTCTTTGTTGGGTCAAACCATTCACAATAAAAAAGTGGAATCTTCTCCTTCAATCCAAAGTAATCTAGTTCATAGATATGTTTGATTATGCCATAAAAATCATCTTTTCCTCCTTCAGCGAGACCTTTCACGTGCACACCACAATTGACAGTTTTTTTACCTTTGCTCCATTCTTCGGTATGATACTTATACCCATTTACAAAGTACATGTTCCAAGAGATTTCCAATGATGAAGGACTGTGTGATAAGGAAATTATGTCTTTGTTGGTAACTCCATTTGTCTTCTCATTTACATATTTCTTCAACCATATGGGAAACTCTGTATGTATTTGTCCAGATAAATCTTCTATACTTATAGAATGACTCTCTAAGAATATGCTGCAATCAACCACACAATTCATGAGTAAATATTTATCATGATATGCATCAAGATCTTGATTGATGTGTTATTGTGCATACTTACTCAAGATATGGTTTGACCTCATCACAATTTATCAAGACATGTACATGTGAAGACTTCCATTCCTTATCTGATAGATAATGTTTTCCAGACTTCCCACTTGGTCGACCACCACTGTGTAAGAGGGACATTGTAGGTAGGATGCCATCATGGTCTGAACGAGGATTGTTACAAATATTTGTGTTTGGCAACAAACTGAATGAGTTGAAATAATGAGAACAAAAGTAATTTGTCTCACGATGTATATAATCGGTGCATATGAAACCTTCAACTCTTGCCTTATTTGTTACTGCCCTCTTTGAGACTCCCATAAATCTGCACATTCAATCATACCACGTCTATTAAGTTATGATAAACGAGTAATTACTAAATAAAAGCAACCACAACCATTACCTTTCGAATGGATACATCCACCGGTACTGTACTGGACCACCTAACATCGCTTCTTTAGAAAGATGGATTGGAAGATGCTCCATTGAGTCAAAGAATCCAGGTGGAAATATCCTTTCTAACTTACATATGATAACTGAAATGTTCTCATCCAACTTAACTAAGTCATCCATCCTTAACGTATTGCAACAAAGGTCTTTGAAGAATCGACTTAGCTCGGTTAATGGTTTCCAAACCAAATCCGACAATGAACGAAATGAAATTGGGAGTAAACACTCCATGAAAACATGACAATCATGGCTCTTCATCCCATGCACCGTACCCTTTTCGACATTGGCACACCTAGAGAGGTTTGAAGCATAGCCATCTGGCATTTTCAATTCCTTCGGCCATTTACAAACCAACTTCACTTCAGTTTTGGTCAGAGTGTAGCTTGCCTTTGGTTTACCCCTCTTTCCGTTAGTTAAGGGTTGGAGCTCTAAGTCCCCACGAAAGCATAATTTAGCCAAGTCTTCTCTCGCCTTTTCGTTATCCTTTGTTTTATCCTTAAAATTCATGACAGTGTTAAATATATTATCAAAGACATTTTTTTCTATGTGCATCACATCGAGGTTGTGCCTTAACAAGTTATCCTTCCAATATGGGAGATCCCAAAAAATACTTCGCTTTTTCCAATTATGATCAACTCCATACCCTTCAAACTCTTTCCATTTTTCTTCCCATCCAATTTCAGTCACTTTTGGAAAATTACTTATTACTGCCCATATATCTTGACCTGTGGAAACGGGAGGTGGGTCGTCTTTCACAACCCTATTTTTTATGAAACTTCTTTTAATCCTTCTGAAAGAGTGATTAGTTGGCAAAAAACGACGATGACAGTCAAACCAGGAATTCTTATGGCCACTTTTTAAGGTAAAAGCATCTGTGTGTTCCATACAATGAGGGCATGCCAGCTTACCTTGTGTTCCCCATCCAGACAACATACCGTAGGCCGGAAAATCATTAATTGTCCATATCAAGCAGGCTTTCATGATGAAGTTTTGTTTTATGGATATATCATATGTCAAAACTCCATTGGACCATAATAGACATAGATCATCAATCAATGGTTGCAAGTAGACATCTATCTTCAATTTAGGATTGTGAGGTCCAGGTATGAGACAAGCAAGAAACAAGTATGGCTTGGTCATGCACATTTCAGGGGGAAGATTGTATGAAGTAACTATTATTAGCCAACATGAGTATGGAGAAGCAGATGCTTGAATGTAAGGAGTAAATCCATCTGAACACAAACCCAATCTTACATTTCTGGGCTCCCTTGCAAAGTCAGGATATACATCATCAAAATGTTTCCACGCTTTTCCATCAGACGGATGGCGAAGGACGTTGGAACTATTTTTGTTCATTTGATTCCATCTCATTTCAGTTGCCGACTCGGTTGATGCATATAGTCTTTGTAATCTAGGAATGATTGGAAAATAAAACACCCTCTTCGCTGGGATATCTTTGTACTTTCCCATGCCAGTCTTGCGAGAAATGAACCTAGGAGCATTACAAAATTTGCACTCAGACAACTTACTATCATCCTTGTAGTATAACATGCAACCATTCTTACAACAATCAATCTTCTTAACCTTTAGCCCTAACTTAGACACCAACTGTGATGCTTGGTAATAGTTCTCAGGTAAACATTTTTGAACTGGACATACACTTTTAAGCATTTGTGCAACAAAATCTAAACCTTTTTGTGGAACATGCCAGTTAGACCTAATTTCAAGAAGTTGAGTAGATATTGATAACATAGACTGGGTAGCTCCCTCATAGATAGGCTTGTTGAAAGATATCAACTTGTCATAAAACTATTTAGCTTCTTCGTTGGGAAACTCATCCTCCAAAAATTCCTCTTATTCCATATTATCATTCGCGTGAGAGAAACCTCCATGAGGCCTAAATGCATCATACACCATTTGATCCATTGCCTCAAACTGGTCAGCTTGACGCACATGTTCACTACTATTTGAGCCACCCCTTGTATCAATATTGAGCTCCACTTCTCCATGTTGAGTCCAAATCCAATAGTCTGGTTGAAATCCATCTCGATATAAGTGAAGTCTTACATTAGTTGTTGTACTTATCTTGCAACACTTGCAATTTATGCACGGACACCTTATCCCTCCCTCAGATTTACAAATGGGTTGATTCAAAGCCTTCTTCACAAACCTTTTAACCCCACAAACAAACTCATCTTTCAATCCGTGTCTATCGGAATATGCTCTATTATACATCCAAGTACGGTCCATTTTCTATATAGCAAACAATTAACATTTGAGTCACTAAACATTTTCTATATTACAAATAATCGAGTAAGATAACCTTAAAAGGGCCCATTTTTTATATAGCAAACAATTAACATGTGTGGTCTCAAATGTGTAAACCATGCTTTGAAAACTGTTAATAAATTTTGATTTTTTCTAACAGTTCAAGCGTGTTTCCAACAATTAAGACCGGTACCCGGCAAATATATAGCACCAATTCATATGAACCATTTGTTGAATTAATGTATACAAAATTGTCCCACAATTTCCCTGTTTTGGACTACTACTATCAAAATTTTAATTGCATTAGAAGGTAATGGCAAAAACACAATTGCCTACTGAGTGAGTCCACTAATATACTATATACCAGATTAGAAGGAAATCAAACAAAGTTGAGCCTGTGACACACTGACACATATAGTTTTGTAAAAGAAATTCACTTAGAGCAAGCACAATGAGGGTTGGTGTTGTAAATTGGCAGATCACAGATGATAGCAGTTTGGTCAAATTGTGCTACACAAAAATGTTATCGCACAACTTAATCCGCTATTTGACCAGGTTATTTAATCAATAGCATTTGCGGAACAATATCAATTTGTTCAAATTCCGCTACACTATAGTGTAATAGCATCGCTATTTAACATCAGAATGGGATCACTTGATGAGATAAAAAATTGTTATGTAGACTCAAATATAGAGGAGAAACTTGTTCATAATCTATGGGGGAATGAGGATTGTGGCTGGTCTGGTTTAAACGTTGTTGGTCAATCTGGAAGAAACTTAACAATTTGGTGGAAAGGTTGTATTGATCCAATCCTCAGTTTCAAAGGAACAGGTTTTTTGGGTTTGTTTGTAACCTAGAGTAACGTGTTTTTCTATATCATTAATGTACATTCTTCTTGCATTTTAGCTGAGAAGAAGAAATTGTGGGCGGAGTTGTTGGACGCGAAAGCTAAATTCCCAGCTGGTGAGTCGATAATAGGAGGGGATTTTAATGCTATAAAATCGCCTGAAGACAGGAGAGGTAGAGGCCATAACTCGAAGGTGTAAATGGAGGAATTCAACATATTCTTATATGCCATTGAATTGGTGGATTTACCAGCTACTGGTAAAAAAATTACATGGTTTAAAGTAAATGGTTCTTGTTGTAGCAGGTTAAATAGATTTTTAGTATCTAAAAATCTGATCTCCAAATGGAATATACTGGAACTATACTGGAAATGGAATATACTGGAACTATTTTCACTCACAGTATCTAAAATACATGGACATGACCCTTCACATTTTGGCTCCTAGTGTATCTGATCATAATTTACTGCTGCTGAAAAATCTTGATATGGATAGGCATAAGAGACAGTTTCACTTTAAGTTTCTCAACAGTGTGATGGATATGGTTGACTTCCCAGAGGAGATTCACAAGAGATGGAGCATCCCTATTGGGGGTAGTCCCATGTTTTTATCGTGGAGGAAAATGATTAGAGCTTAAAGTGTCATCAAAGCCCTTAGTACTCCTTTGATAGGAGCCTCTCACTCTCTGAAAATAGTTAGGCAACAGTTGCGGATAATTAGGAGAAGTTGGTGCATGACAGAGAAAATCCTGGGCTTATTAATAAGGTGAAACCTCATACAAAGAGCCAAGATTAGTTGACTCAGACTGGGTTTAGCAGTAGCTATTCAGTTAGACCATAAATGGATCTGTCAGGCTTAATCACTTTGTCCATTGAAGAAAGTTTACAACTAGAAGATCTGTTATGGGTCGCTGAGTATGACATAATTGGGAGTTCTGTCAGGCTTATTCAGTAGCTATTCATTTATCCCATTTTGGCTGGAAAAATGGCTGACCAATAAGCCGCTTATGAATGTTTTTTCAGTGTTGTTTGGTACTTTGGAGAGTAGGCTTGTAGTTGTGGCGGGTATGGGTCACTGAGTATGACATAATTGGGAGTTTTTCTATGCAGAAAGTTCAGCTGGAATGAAATCACTTACTACAGTTATCTCTACAGCATCGAAAAGTTTAGTACAACTATTTCTGCAGCACCGAAAAGTTCAGCTAAAATGACAGTGTTGCGTTTGTTTATTTTACAAGCACTGTGGTTGTTGAGGTTGTGAACAGAGTGAGTGGAGGGTGGTTGGAAAGTAATAAATTGAATACAGGTAAGAGGCAATATGAGATAAATCATAAGAACAAAATAAATAACAGTAATAACAAGAGGCCAACATCCATGCTCATAATCACATATTAACTCTAATAATTAGCTAAAAGTCAACAAGCACAACACATGACTAATATACACACACTACAAATGGCTTGTAACATAAACGTATAATACAATATACACCAAAACATAAATATTACGTACACAGAAATGACATCCCAAAGCATTACATCGAACCACAAATTTCTTACTACAAACTAAGTTGTCACCAAGATAAAACAAACAAGCAGCCAAAGAAGCATAATATGAAATACGCGTAAAAAAATGTTACCGAAATGCGAAAACGAGATTCAGGTTGCTAGAAGTGAACGCAGTCGGCGGTGGAAATGCAAAGACGACGGTTGTTTTTTATGGTTTACGTTTGTTTCAATGACTTGAAAAAAATGAGAGTAAGTTGGTGTGGAGTATGAGACAAAGGAGTATATGTATTGATGAACAATAAACGTGAGAGGAATATATGAAGGTTGGTGTATTTGGTTTCACTTCATGGTGTTGAAAGAAAATGAGTGTGAGTTTACATATTGTTTTAGTGAATTAGAAAGGAATTTTATGAGGTGTGTTATTATGTAAGGTAATGGCGATGATGAAATGCGCAGGAGGGAGTTCAAATCCAAAAACCTTTTCGCCTTCTCATCCTTCTGCGTTCGAATCCAACGGAATCTCCTCTCAAAACTTCTATGAACACAAACTAACTTATGTTTCTCCTTATATTAACATGTCATCATTTTAATAAACAGAATAACAATCACAACAAATCATTAAACCTAAATCTCAGTTAGGGTTGGAATTAGAATGGCAAATAACAAAATCTAACCTTAAAATGGCAAATAACACAAACAAATTGATTCTATCTCTGCGTCTTTTCTCTGCTTGAATATGATTCTTGTAAGCACTTGCAGCTTTATCTTCTAAACTTCCTTCAACAGGTAAAGGTCAACACTAAAACTCACTATATTGAAAAAAAGCAAAAGAAGAATCAGAGATACTTTGAGGTTAAAAAAAAGAAGAAGAAGAATCAGAGACCAATAAACCCACTCACAAGAATCAATGATCTTGAATATGAAAACGAAGAGATGAAACTCAATACATTGATTTTAGGGGTTTTTTTTCTTCTGAAAATGTATGTCTTTAGTTTTAGGGTTCGTGTTCTCTGAAAGGAATTAAGAGGGAAACATGAAAAACAAGGTGGGAAATACTTTAGACTCGGCTCATCCGTGTCTACCAGATAAAATAAAAAAATAAAACACGTTAGCCTCGGCTGATCCGTGCCTACCAGATAAATTAAATATATATTCGAAAATATTAAAAACTTTAGCCTCGGCTCATCCGTGTCTACCAGATAAAATAAATATATATTTGAAAAATATTTAAAATGTTAGCCTCGGCTGGTCTGTGTCTAATACTTAAAAAATAGAAAAAATTTTAAAAGGGGTTTATTGCGTTTAAATAGCCTCGGTGAGACTGTGTCTAATACTTAAAAAAAATTTAGCCTCGGCCTAGCCGTGTCTAAATAATTAAATAAAAATAATGGTAAAAGAAAAACTGTAAAATGGCTTTTTTTGCGTTTAAGTAGCCTCGGTTTTGTCGAGGCTATTTAGCCTCGGTTTTGTCGAGGCTATTTAGCCTCGGTGTCGGTGGCTAAATTCGCAGCTAAAATGAAGTTTTCTAGTAGTGTCAGTCTTATTATGCGGATGTGAGGTATTTTGATGTGCTTCGGTTCTTGTATAGAATCAATCCTGTTGATGAGGATCTATGGAGGATTGATGGCCCAGTGTCCATCGAGCTGTGATGATTGGTACCACATGCATGAGTCTTGTTGCATTTGCATTTATGTGACAATTTGGTGTAATTTATAATGTTGTGACCTTTAATGTTCCTTGATGATTATAATGATGTTGAATATGAAAATAAAGTTGTTTTATATATTGATTCCTATATTGATTATTATGAATCGTTTTAATCACCCTTCCTGTTTGAATGTTGCCTCCACGTGGGTAATGTGCAGATGATCAGGTTTAGTCATGGATGGCATCAAAGACTTTTGAAGTTTTTGGATCGTTGACCATTATGGTTGAATTAAAGGGTCTTATTCTGATAGTGTAACATCGAGTTGGGGTCCTTGAGTCAAACTATTTTATTGAGTTTTTGTCATGTTAATTTCCTTGCGGTAAAAGGAAAACTTTGGATTTT